TCTTGGAGATGGGAGGATTAATTACTCTCAGTCCCTGTGTAACACCTTCTCTTCCAAAGGGCCCCTCTGAAATTCTTTTTCCTGGGAATGGAGGAAAAAAAAGGGAAACGGAAGCGCTATCACTTTCAAACCTACCTACACTATGGTTTAAAGCAGTCTTGAAGATTGCCACAGGCCTGTGCAGCCAAGCCTGGAGGCCTGCAGGGAAGAAGCAGACTGCATTTATTTTACTTCCTGGCAGGCACAGTCTTCCAAGCCTCAGGCTCCCAGCTCCAGGCCTTGGCCTCATTGCTTCTTCCTCCTGCGACGTTCTTCCCAGCATCCTCACTTATCCCATATTCCACCCAGTTTCAAAGCCCAGCTCAAATACTACATTCCCTGATCTCCCACCACTATCACCACCCAATGGTCTTTCAACCACCCCCCCAAGCCTTCTTTTATATTTCTGCTCCAAATCTTCCCATTCTCTACCTTGGATGACAGGGGTTTACTTTCATGTCCGTCGCCCATATAACAGGCCAGAAGCCCCTTGGGGGCCTCTCAGAGCTGATCTGAATGAATGGAGAATGACTGGAGTCAAGGTCAGCTAATTCTTTTTGCTTACTTGCACACACTCCCTGACCAAATTTGCACATAGACCTCTAACCATGGCCTTTCCTCCCTTTCTAGGACCCGTGACAAGCTGCATCTTAAACTCTGTCCTAGACAGTGAGGACCAAGTCATCCTGGTGGTCCAGAAGGGACCGTAGCGGTCCAGTGGTCCTCTCTGCAGATCGATCATAAGTAGGGACTTTAAAAAATAATGTGAAAAGTAACCAACAAACATCTACCAAGTCCGACTATAGTTTGGCACTGAACAACACACTGGACAAGAGGCTGGGGACAAGACATGCAGAGGAAGGGTCCTGCCCCCGGCGGATCTCCCAGAGGAGAAGGCAGGGACCCCTGAGGAGGGGGGCCTTTCAGCTTTGCTTCCTCTCAATCCCTAGTAAATGAAACAGTGTCTGGCCCATGGTAAGAACTCAATAGCCACTGGCTGAAGAAATGAATTAATACTCATTGCCTCAGGAGCACTGAACACACCATATAAGGCAGGGCGATGCTGAACGGCTGAGCTGTCTGCACGGTGAGTCAGAGCTGCAGAATCCACAGGCGCGCGTGTGTGAGAGAGAGAGAGAAAGAGAGAGATTGAGAGATTGAGAGAGAGAAAGAGAGAGAGAGAGAGAGAGAGAGAGAGGGGCTGAGACTGAGACTGGAGGGGCCAGGAGGTTTGTGGTTGACCAAAATCAAGCAAAAAAACAGATCTTAAAAAGCATTTGGCCATAGTTGCCTGGGAGGCAGCAGCATACACTGTGGTTTTCCATCTTTTGTTTTTCTGCAGAGTAATCTTTTTTCGAATAAAATCATACGCTGCACCCTAAATGCATAAGAGAGCTGCCATGGTGGATGTCAGCTGGGGGGAGGGGGCGAGGCTGACCTGCTTGCCTATATCCCGCCCAGGCCCCGGGGCCACTCGGAGATGGGGCTCCTGCTCGGTCAGTGACTGCCTCCTCTCTTTCCCCTTCTGTCTGAGAGGCCTCAGAAAGGTGGTGGCTGAGGGATCGTTTTCCAGGAAGGGTCTGTCATAGGATCAGTCTTCTGAGCGGCCATTTAGGGCAAATAAATGCTAAAGTGGCTCAAGAAACTTTCCCTAGGGATAAGGGGATGAGAATGGAGGTGAAGGGAACTAGGAAAAGGTCCTTTGAGGAACTGGAGGGGAACCCAAGGCAGCCAGGTATGGGGTGGCTGAGATAGTGGGGTGGCTGCTGGGGAGCACGGAGACTCAATATAGGAGGGACCTTTGGGGGCAATCCTTTTGAACAATGAAGTATCACCTGCAGACATATCGTGTCTGCTTTTGTGTGCGTGTGTGTGAGTATGCGTTTGTGTGTGTGTGTGTGTGTGTGTATGAGTCTGTGTGTGTGTATAAATCAGGCTTTCAGATATCAGATTCGATGAAACTGAAGCATACTTGTCAGAGGCCACCCCTAATGCTGTAAGCCACAGGAAGGACCCATTTGAGACCAATCAGCTCTCCTGCTTGCTCCATGCTTCCCACCCCCTGCCCTGCCACTAACAGGGAGCATCTGTTGTTTTGCCCAGCATTCCTTCCTTTTTCTGAAAATAGCAGCTTGGTTTTCCTTTTGGGGTACCAGCCCTCACACACTTTCAGGCCCACTCCCCCCCACCCACCACTCACAATACATACACCCTCACCACCCACCACCCAACACTGAGCGAGACTGGCCAATCGGCACATTCTCTCCTGCTTTCAGTGATTGGCCAGAGATGGTCACGTGACCCACGACCGGCCAATAACCTTCAACTCTGGGGCTTTTGTTGAAACTCCTGAGAAAAAGAAGCTCTCCTTTCATTGAATTTGAAATGAGCAGGATGTCAGTCTGGAGCTGCTGTTCACTGCACCACTGCCACGTGGAACAGGCCTGCTGGGGAATGTAGCCGTCAGGAGGGAAGCAGAGGGCACAGACATGGGCATCATTTGAGCGTTGGATTCAGTCCTGCCTTGGACACCAATAAACAAGCTAGTAAGTTGCTGGTCTTGCTTAATCACATTTGAGTTGAGTGTTGACCTCAGTTCGACACAGCCAGCATCCGACCTCAGTTTAGCCTTTGCCCAGCCTCTCATCACCCTGGTCCCCGCTGTAGACAGCTTTCACTTCTGGCACATCATTGGTTCTTGCTGACCTGGGTGGCAGCTCTAGCCTTTCCTTCAAATCCAAGGACTGGGCACAGGCTAGAAGCCTGCCAGGCTCACCTGTGCCCCAGCCTTCTCAGCTGTCTGGCTCCTCCTACTGTTGGCTGATCTGGTAAGACACCTCTAACCTTGGCTCAACTGCTCACTCTGCCCCGCCTCAGGGTCCTGCCTCATTGACCTTCGGTCCTGCTGGAGGGGTACAGACACTAAACAATGAATGAGGCCCTGGAATTCAGCCAGGCCTGGGCTTGGGGCAAGAATAGACACCTCAGGGCACTGGTCTGTTAGTCTCAGAGAGACCTGCCATGAGCAGAGCTGTGGTGTATAGCAGGAAGATACTGGGCTCAGGTGTCAAGCAGGCCCAGAAAGTTTCTGGATCACTTACCTGCTGTACCACCTTGGGCAAGCTGCCCTCTCTAAATTTCATAATCCACAACTTTAAGATGGGGGTCATACCACTACACAGTAACAGAAGGACAAAAATCCACAGAACCGACAGCACCAATTGCCCAGAGCTGTGGTGTATAGCAGGAAGATACTGGGCTCAGGTGTCAAGCAGGCCCAGAAAGTTTCTGGATCACTTACCTGCTGTACCACCTTGGGCAAGCTGCCCTCTCTAAATTTCATAATCCACAACTTTAAGATGGGGGTCATACCACTACACACTAACAGAAGGACAAAAATCCACTGAACTGACAGCACCAATTGCCGACGAGGCTGTGGAGCAACAGGAACTCTCACTCGTTGCTGGTCGAAATGCAAAATGGTACAGCCACTTTGGAAGACAGCTCGGCGGTTTCTTAAAAAGCTAAACATACTCTTACCATACAATTCAGCAATTAGGTTCCTAGGTGTTTACCCAACTGGTTAAAACTATGTCCACACAAAAACCTGCATGTGAAAGTTTATAGCAGCTTTATTCACAATCATCCAAAATTGGAAGCAACCAAGATGTCCTTTGATAGGTGAATGGATAAACGAACGGTGGTGCATCCAATGGAATATTATTGGATAAAAAGGAATGAGCTATCGAGCCATGAACAGACATGGAGGAACTTTAAATTCATATTGTTAAGTGAAAGAAGGCAATCTGAAAAGGCCACATACTGTGCAATTTTAGTTCTAAAACATTTTGGAAAAGGCAAAACTATAAAAGCAGTAAAAAGATCACTGGTTGCCAGGGTGAGGAAGGAGGGAGGGAGGATGAAAAAAAAGGGGGGATGAATCATCTTCTCCGGCAAGGTGGAGGGTCCCCCAAATCCATTTTCCTCTTCTTCGATAGAAGTAGAATTGTAACTGGGCAATAAAGACTCTAACTTCCAGCCGCCCTTGCAGCCGAGTGTGTCATATATCTATATTCTGGCCAATGGGACATGCATGGAAGTGATGTGTGCACCCTCTTAAAGGAAGGGGCATTCTCTCCTTTTCTGATTTCCCCTTCTGGCTGAGTGGAATGGAGAGACTGTCATGGGCTGTGGATAAGTGATGGTGGAGCCACAGGACAGAAAAAAATTTGGTTCCCTAATGTTTTTGTGTAGAAGAATCCCCTTAGCTCAGATTTTTCTTGAGAGTAAAATTAACCTCTCTTTTGTTTAAAGAACTGTTATTTTGGATTTTTATCACACACAACCACACCCATATCCTGACTAATGCAAGGACCTTCAAGGATTATTCTGAGGATTCTGCATAATATAAGTAAAGCATCTTTACATAGTCATTCATTCAACATTTAATGGCCAGTTTACTCTGCTGGGATCTGAGATTCAACTAAGAACAAACTCCTGTCCTCATGGAGTCTACATTCTAGCATGAATGTGAACTCGACCAATGTGAGAATAAACTAATTACAGATTGTCATGGATGCAGGCATGCTATTAGTAACAACTAATGTTTATTGGGTTCCGAGCTTACTATGTGTCCATCCTATTCTAAGCCCTTTTCATGTATTACTTTATTTTATCTTGACCACAAACCCAAAGGTGGGTGCTGCTGCTTGCTTGATGAGGAAGCTGAAATACAGGTTGAGGAATCTGCCTCAGGCCACACAACTCGTAATTGATGGTTCTAGGATTTGAACCCAGGTCTATTGTACTTTAGAGCCTTAACCACTGGACTCTCCTGCCAATGAAAATAGAACTGCACTGTGATAAAGAATGATAAGATGTCCAGCTGATGGTTACTATTAGCAATAACAACAACAAAAGCAGCATAAAACCTTGTGCCGAACAAGCCTGAACTCCCTTACCTGGGTGACCAGTGTCTGGAAAAGGATTGTGCTCACGTTTCTAGATGCCAAATTCAGCGAGTTCAAGTTGCTTTGATGACAGTGTCAGAAGCTCTTGCCACTCCAAGCCCAGGGCTGTCCAGGAGATGCCCACCTGTCAGAGATAAGCAGAATCAGCTGTGACTGCCTAGTCCGGGGAAAGCTTATCAGCTCATACTTCCCAAAGTCTCTTGTTTTTGTCCAAAATGCTCTTTGGGCCCAATGCCATGAGGCAAAGTATTGAACCCAAAGCGGGAGCCTGGGGTTCCACATCAGGATTGGGGAGCCATAGCCTAGATCCCAGATAAACTTGCCTAGAAACAATTCTAAGATGCAAAGATATGAGTATGCCTGTGTGTGTAGGTCATGAATAAAAATACATAAGCATCACACCCACTGTGTCTAGCACAGCGCCCTTTGCAGAGTGGGGATGCTTGACAAATGTGTTGTGGTTTGCTTTGATATAAAACATAACTTTATATTGCTGAGTGAGTGGGTGGAAACACCAGGAGAGTTCAAGTGCACTGAAGGAAAGATCCTTCCTTATGTGCTGATGCATTCCGGGAACGATCCAGCCAGCCAGACCAATGGCTTCATTTTATCAATGTGGAGACTGACTCAGAGAGGGGCAGTAACTTGTCCAGAGTCACACAGCAAGTGGCTGACCTAGGCCTAAACCTGGGGTCTCCCCTGACTTGTGCCCGTGTGCTCTCTCCAGGGGTTCATCCTCTTTTACAGTTGTCAGCCTTGTAGCCCCTAGAGCAGCCGAGGCACACCACTGGGGTCTGCTGCATGCCTGCCAGGTGGATGCTGAGACAGGCCAGATCCGGGAATGGTTTCCTGGTTGTGTTCAAGCCCAATGAGGAGTGGGAGGCAACACTCGCAGTGGTCAGAAGTGTGGGCTTTGGAGGCAGGTGGGCCTTGGCCCCACGCTGGTGCAACCTCGTTCCAGAAACGGGACACCGGTCAACTCGAGTGTCCTCTCAGACCATCAGTCTCCTCGTCAGTCAAGGACTGAAGGGAGTTAAAATGGTTTTCATAAGTCTGTGAAGCACACAGAAGAGCATTTGGCACAAAGCAAGAGCTCAGTAAATGTTAGGGAGGCGACATAGGGAAGGATGTTTGAGTGCCTGTGGAGGAGGCGGAGCACTGGACTGGGAGTTGTTCTGTGTCCTTGGCACATCTTTAGACAAAAATCTCTCAATTTCACGAGTCATTTGCTCCCTCTGATCCCACCTTTCTCCGCCCTCTCTGGCTCTCATGGACCCATGCGGGCCCCCAGCCCAGCATACCTGCTTTTCTCTCTGGGCCACAAACTCCCCACAGGACCTCACAGCCCAGTCGACACTTTCACCAGCCAGCAAAATGCAAATGTCATTAGCGCTCTGCAAGATGGTGAACGCTAATGTCACACCAGAAGGCAGCCATCTCGTGAGAACTGGGGAGGTGTGGGGGTGGGACGAACACCCTGGGAAGGGTGGCATTCTCTGCTTTTTCCAAAAGGGTATGATCTAGAAATAAATAAATGGCTGCAGGAAAGAGGTGACAATGGAGATTGTTTTAGCGGCGTGCTATGCAGCTGTGCCTTTCTCACGGGCTCACCACGGCTGCCTGTGGTCTCTGCTTCCGCTCATCCGGATGACATGTGTGTGTCAGCCTCTCTGGGCCTCTTTCCCACACACACTCCACGAAGAGGCTCATCTGGGAAACCCCCTGTCTCCAACTTTTATTTCCACCCCGGTCCATACTTGCTCCCTTAAAGCTGCTGAAGAAGCAGATCACCCACCCCCTTAACAAACCCATGGCAGAGGGGAGTCTTCGCTCCCAGCTGGAGGTAGCAGCAGTGGACCCCTGCGGATCCATGAGCAGGAGTCCTGGGTTCCAGTCCCAAGCCGAACTAACTTGCTGTGAGCTCTCAGGCACAGCCTCCCCTTCGTGGGCCCTTGGTCTCCCCGTCTGTGAAAGGGCACCCGGGAGCCGCGTCGGTCCCTGCCATCTCTCCGTGCCAGTTCTAAAACCCGGGGCTCTAGTGAAACACAGGCAGAGGTGCCAGGGTAAGGCTCCTCCTCCTCTAGTGCCCTCTGAGAACAGCACTGATGACCCCAGCAGCTATATTCAGGCCTCTTAGAGGAGAAGGGAAGATGCGTGTGTGAGAGAGCAGGGTGCTGTAGGGGGGTGGGGGTGGGGGAGCAGGGTGAGCAAAGGCCCAGATATCCAAGTAGGGAGGCCTCAAGCCAAGGCCGCCTTTCAGGGTAGAGTGGGAAATGAGATGTAAAAGTCCCACGGTCAGTGCCACACGCCTTTCCTCATTTAATACTAATGATGTTATTATCCCCATTTTATTGATGAGAAACTGAGGCTCAGAGAACTGGGTAGTCGCATGGCTATTACACAGCAGGAGGAGTTTGAATCCATAGTCGATGTAAGAGCAGCTCTTGATGGCTGTGGGAGGCCATCGTCTAGACTGTTTGAAATAGAATGTGAACTAGAGAAATTCAGGAGTGTGTGTCGTGAACACATGCAGATGAGTTCCTTGTCACCTGAGAGTGGGCAACATTGTGTCTGTGCGTGGGGCTGGGGGAGCTCAGTGTGGGGATGTGCGTACATTGTAAACATGTGTCTGTGTCACTGCCAAATGAAGCCATGGACCTGTGTTCAGGCCCAAAAGTGCTGAATGAGGAGGATGTGACCAAGTGCCCAACGGGGCTGGGGAGTGGGCAGTCAGAAGACCCTGGCCATCCGCAGCAGCCAAGGAAGCCCTGCTCTTCAGCTGTGAGCTAGGCCTGTCCTCACAGGTCCCCGGATCCCTCATTCCCAAAGGCTGAGCCCACTGCTCCCTGGGAGAGAGGAGGCACTTCCTGCCTTTGGCCTGGCATCTTCTGGGGTTGGTCTCCTCTGTGGTCCCTCAGGCTGCCTGCCCCAGCTAGGGAAACAGATCCTGCAGATCAAGGCTGGCATATACATGGGCTGCTGCCAGAAGGTAGAGAGGACAGTGAGTGACCGACCATACTGGCTGCAAAGGTGGAGAGAGGGCAATGGGGGCTAGCCAGGCTGTATTCCAGCCCAGGCCCTGCCCTACCACTGGCTGTGTGACCGGGGCATGCAGCCCACCTCTCTGAGCCTCACAGAGCTGCAGAGATGACATTCTAAGGGGAAGTACATGCAAACTGTAATGTGCTGTACCCATGATAGAGCTGTGGTTCTAATCTCAGAGGCCAAGATAACGCAGGAAGTAGTAGAGTGTTCCTGAGGAGACTTAACGGAAAATCCAGCCAAGGCCTTTATGTAAATAAGTTCCCCTCTCCCCTCCCCTGGGCCTCTGTTTCCCCACCTGTAAAAATGAGGATCCTTAAGCCCAGTTATGGAGTAGTATCCAGCCCCTCAGTGTCTAGTTTTCTTTATCATGATTTGCTATTAACATCATAGCTGGATTTCATTTGCCAGAAACCAGAAGCCATTCACGCAGCAGTGAGCTGAGTAAATGGGGCCAGGACAGGTAAGTTTTGATGGAGGAGAGAGGCAAATAGTTTTACATTTGAGTCACTGACCTAGAAGGAATGCGACAATTCCAGGACGACAGAAGGAAGCTTGTGGAAGGGAGGGAAGCAGAGCCGTTGAGAGTTGATAGAATTCGGAAGAAGTGTTTCCCTCAGTTTTCACTGGGCTGGCCCTGAACGCCACAAAGACACAGGAGTTGTTTCCTGGAGGCCACAGGCAACACGCACACTCGCTCATCTGGTGAGTGTTAATCGAACATCGGCTGTGTACCTGGGACTCTGCAGGTGCCAGGGATAAGTGAGGCACAGACCACACCTTCAAAGGAGCTCATTGGTATAGGGAAGAGAAGGCAATGCCCTTCTCTTGGTTCGAAGTGGCAAAGGAGGGCTCATCACATGGCTCCGAGTTTAGAGGGGGGAGGGGCCCCTTCCTTCTTGAGCCCCCGGGAAGGCTTCCTGGAGGAGGGAGCAGATTTGAATGTATGGAGAGGAGAGGAGGGCACTGTGGGCAAAGGGACCAGGACAAGCAGAAGGCATGGAGGTACCCAGGTGTGGGATAAGTATTCAGGACTACGAGCCAAGGCTGCCTACTAGTGCGGGGGCTGGATGGTTACGGTCCTTGAATGCTAGGCTAAGGATGATGAACTGTATCTGCAGGCAATGGGGAGCCACTGAAAGTCATAGAGCAGAGGTGTGCTCCAGGTAGGTGAAAAGCAGGCGGGGGCCCAGGCAAGTGGAAACAGATGATGAGAGGATGAAAGGAAGAAGGGCAGGGCCTGGTGGTGGTAGTGGGACCCAGAACTGGCAGGCTGCGGGGGACGATGACGACTACACTTAGATACGTTGGGTCTGCATCCCAGCTCTGCCACTGTTAGCAACTGTGTGGCCTCAGACAGGTCATTGAACCTCTCTGGGCCGCCCCTATAAAGTGGAAAAAATAAAGCCACTCCATAGGGATGTAGGATTCAACCAGATAACAAATGAAAAGCACTTGGAACACATTAAGTGATTGTTGGATGCTTGCTTTCTAAAATTTAAGCACTTACTGCTTTTATTAATTAGTGGTGCATTTCCCTCTTACAAATAAGGACACCAAAGCTCAAGGTCAAATGACTGGCTAGAATTGGCCATGCTGGGCCTCAAATCACAGGAGAAGCAAGTTATGAGCAAATAAACCTAGGATGACTCAGAGAAGAGTCTTGATTTTAAAATATTGCTAAAGAAAGAGCTGTTTTATGACTTTTGCACTGTGCGCTTATTAAACCCAAGCTATAAATGTGAACTAATAAGTAAAATGAGTTAAGTTAATGAAAAAAGTCAGCCTTCAGTATGGATCCATATTACCTAATGACAGTCCATAAACATAAACATAAAAATTTAAAATACAAGAATGAATTGCAATGCCTAGCAGCTCAAGGGTTCTGTAATTTCTCTGTCTGAAATAAAAGCTATTGATTTTAGCTTGAGTTATCATTGCTCATGAGTGAGTCTTTGAGAAGTCATAAAGGAAGGAATTATTTCTGCTTGTTTACTCACTAAGGATCGGATATATTGAATTTAAATCGTCTCCGATTCCTAATTAGTACAAACCAAATTAGAATCCTAGTACAGTAGATCT